ATGAAAATTATCATTTCTCACATCACTTCTACTCTTTTATTGCTTCTGATTGATTCTGGAAGCAATGGACTTTAGTATAAAATAGGGTATTTTTGTTTTTTGTTTTTTAGCTAAAAAGAAAACACACTCTGGGGTAGCAATACAGAAACCTATCTTTTGTTAGTCTGGAAATATTGGAAAAATGTCTTTTTACCATTTACACAACCCTAGAAGTCATCAAATGACTCTACTCTAAGCTAATCATCAATAAATAAAAATAAAATGCTATTTCTAAATTTGTACTAAAAAATTTTTTTTATTAGTTGTTTTTTTTTTTTGTTTTTTTTTTTTTGTTTTTTTTTTTTTACTTTTTGAGAGGCAGAGAGAGACAGAGTGCATGTGGGGAAGGGGCAGAGAGAGAAGAAGACACAGAATCCAAAGCAGGCTCCAGGCTCTGAGTTGTCAGCACAGAGCCCGATGCAGGGCTCAAACTCACGAACCATGAGATCATGATCTGAGCCGAAGTCAGACGCTCAACCCACTGAGCCACCCAGGCCCCCAAAATAAAATGCTAGTTTGTTTTTTTCCCCTAGTATCTTCTAGCTAACATTTTTCAGATTCTTTTCCTCCTAAAGTTATTTAGTTTTGACTCAAATAGAGTTATCAGCCTGGTGCAGCCACTCCCCAAGAATGATTCATTCATTTAGTGGCTTCTTGTCTTCTCCCAGGCAATCTGTGAGGAACAATCGTTTAGCCTCTTTTCTATGCTCTTCCTAACCTTCTCAGTTTAGTGTGAGAACACAAGGAGGAAGATGCGTCTGGGGTACATCTTCGCCCACTCAGAGGAGCACAGTGGGAAGGAAGGCAGAAAAGTTGTGCTCACAGACCACACAAAGTACTCCCCACCAGGCTGCAGCTGTGACAACCCAGCAATTCTTCCCTCGACACCTACGGCACATATTTCATAGTCTAAGAATAGATGTGCTTACATTGATCAAGTGGGGGAGGCTGACAGAGTTAGCCTCATATGGCTAGGTCTCAGATGCATAAAGATGTCAAGAGATCTGGTTTTAATTGAAATGCAAGCATTTGCCACGTGGTATTCTACACACGGGTGATTTTGCCTTATATGGTCAGTAACACGTTTTGGCAATACAAAAATGAAAAGCAAAATAAAAACAAGTGAAGCATGAGTTGTAACAATAACTTATTACGGACCAGAGAAAAGAATTATATCCAGTGAACATTATGTAAAAACATGATATTTATATTTTTGATTGTTATACAGATTTAACATGCTAACTAAAAAAAAAAATAATCCAGTTGATTGCTGTTTTATTCACTTGTAGAAGGTGATTTTCCTGCAGACAGATTTTCTGGTGGTTGATATGTTAACAACAGATAGAACATTTTGGTGTTTTTGATTATTCATTTGGCGTTAGGATCACTTCTTTGAGAAAGTCTGAATAGTAAAACAGAACTGCTGCAATATTTTTGTTATCATGATACTATAATGTAAACACTGAGAGTTGACTCACCGTTCAACTGATGTAGAGAGATCAAAGGAGAGCCATATCATAATTTAACCTTAAGTGAAGGTTTGTGTGGAGATAAAAATTAGGGTGGCAGGTCAATCCTAAAATAAAATTTATTTAGTCTATTTCTCCCTTTCAAGATTTAAAACATAAAGCCTATATTGGCCAATTGGTCCAGATGTCAACTTAGAATAAAAGCCAAGTTCCATTAGGAAATGATACTTGCTTTTCATTTCTAAGAGGTGTCTACCCTTTTCTCGTCAAAATGTGAGACCTCCATACTTGTATATTCACTGTGGCATTCGGAACTGACTGAAACTTGGTAGTTCTGTGTTTATCTTTATGTGACCTCTTAGTAAGAACATTTTTTAGGAAATCATAGAGCAAGGTAAAATGTAAATACATTTTTTGTAGAGTGAAAAACTTCTGGCTTCATTATTATTGGTAAAGAAATAGTTAGACCCTTAAATAAAGCGCATTATGGCTATGCCCCAACAAGAGGTAGAATTTGTAATTGAGGCAATGTCCTTTCTTACCTTGTACTGCTTAAATCTCACTGAACCTGTGGCCACCCACTTTGCTTAGACATAAAACAGCGTATATAAAGAGAGAAGGTGATAGATGCGCCAAATAACTATCCTAACTATCTGCATATTGTTGACTAATTTGTTGATTAATTAAAAGCTATGTACAGGGATCACTGTGATCCAAGTCTGGATGAACTTGATATTCAGCTTCTGGGAGGTTGTGAGAACATGTTCTAGATTGTTCTCACACCAGATGTCAGGTGCTTCCTGAGAAACTTTATTGTTGGCCCCGCAGAATTCAGGGCAGCTTCAGGAGTGATGTCTCACCTGACACTTGTCAGATTGCCTCCTAGGACAGCAGAGAGTGGTATAGATCTATAGTTACTGCCCCCAAAGAATTATAAAATCTGAGTCTTTCTTAAGCTTTGTCACTGTGTGACTTAGTTATAGTCACCTTTGCCTCCTTTGTCCCAGGAAGAAGTGAAGACCCTAAGTGTCAGAACTTGCCACGGAGTAAAGCAAAAGGATCACCTGATAGAGGCTAGTAAAACCCAGCTCCAACCAAACCACCTTCCATCATGGCTAATGCAGAGCTTTGGGACAGCACCTCTCACTCCAGTTATTCTCTGATGCCACAAAGGCCTCAATACTACCTAATTCTCTCCATCACCTTACTTTTAGGTACCTGGATTTTGTTTCTGGAATCTGGTCCCCTTCAATCACTGGATTCTTATCTTTAAAATTCACTCTTGAAGTCATTGATTCCCTGTCACCAACTCCCTTTTGACCAGACCACTTCACCTGAGAATCCTATCCCTGGATCCTTTTCTGGCTGCTTTCTTTCGAAAATTCCATTTCTCACTGACTGCCACCTAATCTGGCACTACCAAACAAGAGTTAGAGCCTCCACAGGGAACTCCCATGCAGGCCAAGTCTTTGTTTGCACCTTTGGCTGGGTGTTGATAGCATGTCTCAAACCATGCATGGATCACTTTTATTGAAAAAAAGGAATGTGCGTGGACGAGTTGAGCCTCCAACAGCAGGCCACATTGGCCACATTGGGAAGGGGATGTTCTGAGGGTGTGTGACAGGGAAGACTATGTGTGTTGACTATGAATGTGTTTGCATGTGAGAGTGAAGAAGTACGTGAATGGCTCTGAGCACATGTGAGTGCGTGTGAGCGTGTGTGTGTGCAAGTGGGAAATAAATACAACAGGAAAGCCTTCACTGGTAGCAAGGTCTGAGAGATGTGGTATGCCAGAGGATCTCTTGGCTCAAATTGACCCAGGTTCTAGTTTGGCTTCTGTTACCAGCTCAGCTTGTGTGATCCTGAGAAGCCACTTTCTTGTCTCTTGGATCACAGTTTTTAAACTTGAAAGATGAGTATATGAAAAGTACTATAAATTCTGTGTACCACAAAAAGTACCACAACATTGCTGTTATGATTCTCTTTCATCTGCCCTACTATACATTAGAAGGTGAATATACAGCCAGAAAAAGGAGGCTATGGTTAAGAAATGCAGAGGTAGGCTCAAGCCCCATCATCACACACTTTTTAGGTTATGGTTAAAATAGTACAGGGACAGAGACTGAAAGATGACTGGCCCCACCCTGGGGGAGAAGAGGACATCTTCAGTGTGATGCTAAGAGGAACACAAGCCCCCTATGTTCCTTTGCTGGTCTCTTAGACTGGAACATCTCCCTCTTAAATCCTTCTGAGACCCAGACATGGAAATAAACCCATCTGCCTTGCCTATTGATTTTAAAAGTGCCTCAATTCTTTAATGCAAAGAAGTGGGTGAGCTGGAGATGTTGCGTGCTATCTTAATTTGAGAGTAAATGTTACATGCCCCTGAGTGGCCTCCATTAATTATAACCAAGAAAACAACCTTGGCGTGCCTCACTTCTCTCATTGACTGTATCAATGGCTTTCACAGACTTCTACATTGAAGGCAGGCCCAAAAAGCAACAAACATTAGGCAGTCCTCTCTTTTCCAGCTGCTAAAAATAAATAAGTTTATCTGCAGCACTGCCTAAGGAATGACTCAAGCCAAAACTAGAGATAAATGTAAATGTCACTTCTTTTAATAAGAAAACATTGATAAATTCATATATACGTCTCCATTCTAACTCAGGCTGGGTAATGGTATGATCAATTCATAAGCAACATACATGAAAGAGAGAAGCAGATTTATAAAGCAAATGTACTGGAAAGCCATAACCCAATATCCCTGTCAATTGAAACTGAGACCAGAAAAACCAGGAAGGATTCTAAACATGAACCAGAATAACTAACATGAAGATCTACAAGACTGAGGCCCAGAGAGGTAATGTGGCTGCCACAGGATTGCCAGCAGTTTAGGACTGAGTATCATTTTCTGTTTCCCAGATTGACACCTTTGCCACTACTAGCTGCTATTTGCTATGTCCTTATGCTTTAGAAAAGTCAAATAGTTTTCCAAGGTTGAGTTTTGAAGTAGAAATTACTGTGGCACTTTCAGTGTTCCTTTTCAAAGTTCCCTCCTTGGGTTCGACATCTATTTTCCACCTGCCCTCTCCTCCTGACCACAGACTTGCACACTGACACAGCCCCCTACATCCTACCTTCCTCTTCCTCAGCCTTCTTCTTCCTGAACATCTTGCTTTGTTCTCTACCTTAGTGTCTGCTCACTCCCTTTTCTCTCTCTTGTCACATGGTAGCATCTCTACTTCCTGAAATCTCCACAGCACATCTCAAACATTCTAACTTCCAGAGTAACCTACATCTGTGGTTTTCAAAGTGTAGTCCGCAAAACAGCAGCATCACATCACCTGGAAACTTGATAGAAATGCAGATTCTCAGGCCTCAGACTGGACTTCCTGTCCCAGAAACTCTGGTAGTCAGACCCAGCAATCTGTGTTTTAATGAGCCCTCCACATGACTTTGAGCTCTCCCCAAGTCTGAGAATCACCAACCTACCTTATCTTTTGGTAGCTTGAGTTCCAAAGCAAGAGTTCTGTGGAGTACTGTTTGTGTTCAGATTCAGCTTTCCAGCTGTATACTCAGGATAAATTACACCCTCTCTGCCTCATACTCCTCATCTGTGAAATGGAGATAGTAATAGATTTTGCCTTAGATATTTGCCGTTGGTCGATGAAATGATACAAGGTATGTACACCAAATGTACTTAGCACAGAGCAAAACCTAGGAAATGCTAAAAAAAAGTTAGCATTATTCTTTCATAAGATAGTTGTACTCTACTTCACTTTTCTTTCCATATCATACTCTTACGAAACTTGTAAACAAATGTTAATCAATAGCGAAACCATGTTACTTAAGAATGTAAATTACCTTCTGAATCAGGTCTTGATATTATCAATCTTTATGAAACCATTTTCATGTTTGTATTTAAAGTAGTTATATGAATATTTAGTTTCTGTATTTCAACAGTTAATAAAAATGATGACACAGTACCACTCAAAAGAATCAGTTTAGAGAAAGCTATTTCAAGCTATTTCACTGCCACATAGGAGTACACCCAGAAAAAGCTTTGCAAGTTTGTTCTTGCAGCAGCTGATATCCTTAAAGGAAAACACACATACGTTTGTTGCTAATAATAAGGCACCCTGGTCTTTCGGTCTAGGACAACTGTAAACTTGTCTGTGCAGAATGTCCCTCAGGCATAAAAGCAAGCTCAACAGATGGGACAGGACCCCACAAGCAACTCTTCAAATCTGAATCATGCATTTTTCTTGCATGTAAATATCATTTCATATTAATTGATATTACTAAACAGCACTTATAATTGCAGCAATTCTTGCAATTATCATAGAGAAATGAATTCATACTATTTCACATATAAAATGGCTCTTATGTATGTATTTCAAACAATATAGCAAAAGTTGTGAAATCTCTTCACCCGGTGTGCTAAAGTGTAATTCATGTCTCTCCCATGCAAATCTCAAACCCTTTTTAAATATTGTATACTTGTAATTAAAAAAATCAAACTAATAGAAACATCATTGCTCTTACTCCAGTGAGTAGTGCCACCAATTAGCAAAGAGCTTTATAGGTGATATCTACTTTTAAATTAGCTATTACTTTCTGGTATAGCTACTTAGTTAATGGATATTACGATTGTAAAACTCGTGTTACTTGGAACATACGTACAGTGTATGATCCCAGTGAAATGGCTCACGCCAACAGCAAAAACAAAAGGCCTGCCCAGAAGGGACCTTTTGTAAGGCAGGCCAAAACTGTATGTGCATAGCATTTTCTGGCAAGTCACTGGCAAAGTCCTCAGCTGTGAATATCCTGGACATAAGGTTGTGCAATTGTGGTTAGGGAAATATGGTGGTTGTTAGTTTAATTCCTAGCTGACCCAATTTCTATTCATATAAAATATGCTTTGGGGCAGTCATCAGGAGACCACTTGGACTTTGGTTTACATGGAATTTCCTTGCCTTTTATGACATTTCACATTTTCACTAAGAGATAGAAGAATTCTATAAAACGAATCGCTTAGGCCAGTAGAAAAATATGTACATAGAAAAATGTGTAGGTAAAGCTTTTCAGCGTATCAACAAAGGTTCATATGCAGCAGTTAAGTACAAGGAATTCTAGGACAAGGAAATGAACTCAATGGAGTGGAGCCATAGAAAACTGGGTCTAAAAATCAGACATGAATGGGAGGTGCTCCATTTGGAGGCCACACTTACAAGCATAGTTTTCTGAGTTCTTTTTTGAGCATCACAATTTTGGCCCTGAAGCCATGTTGTTTAGTGCTAGGAAGGAGATCTGGAAATCAGAAATCCTCATTCCAGTCCCGAGGTGTTTATAAGATGTCCACAATTCTCTTTGGCCCAATGTTCTTTCATGGGATTATTCATGGTTCATCTTCTTAATAACCATCTTGGAATAAGGAATCTGTATTTGAGTCGCCATTATGAAAGCAATCCTTTAAAAAAAAAATAACAGAACCACTGTTAAGATTGAAACACTGAGGGGAGAATGGAATCAAAAAGCTAAAAGAGCTCTCCTATAGAAGAATAGGTTTACAAACACAAATAGTGCCAGAGAGTCTCGATAGCATTCTCAATAGAATTAAAAACAGTGAGCACAGTGAATGTACCTAAACACACATGTATTTATATTTTTGTAATGCATTTGATACAGTATCTCAATAAATCTTATTTGCCAACCTAATTAGCATTGGCTTTGCTGTGTGCTCTGTCACATGGACTGAGAACTGGCTGGAGGACAAGTCCTAATGACTCAGGGCAACGTGTTGACTATAGGGTCACCATGAGGTCTGGTTTTGTTTAATGTCTTTATTAACGATCTGGAAGAAAGAGCAAATAATTCTTGAATGAAATAATATCTGAGTGACAGGCACATGGGCTAACTGGAAAACATAATTAAGTAGAAGCGTGTAAGCGCCAGTCCTAGGCTTGCTACTGATTTGAAGGAGGCAGTCACTCGATCTTTCTGGGCCTGTTTCCCCTTGTGGAAAATGGAGATAATGGGTACTCCTGTGAGAAAACAGAGATAAGATTTTATGATTTCAAATACAAAGTATGATAATACTCCCTCTGATAATATTTAGTGCTTATCTACTGCTTAGAAGTCACTTTAACATGGCAGAACCGAGGGTAGGGCCTGTGTCAGGGAGGAACAAAATGACACTGTCAAAGGACAGCATGTTGGGAGGACTCATGGCTAAAACACCCTGCAAAAGGGGTTTGTTAATAGGTGGAGGAAGCTTAGAGAGAATAGGAAGTTGAAGAATACCAACAGACTCTTTAGTGGAAAACTGCATAGGAGGGTAAAGATAAAAGAAGGTAAATCTGTCTTGCTGTGTTTGAAGATGGGGCAGAAGGATGAGATGGAACCACAGGAAGACCTCCCACACGTCCTGCTCTTTTTTTTTTTTTTTTTTTTTTTTCTGGTCCATGGAGACTATGCACAGAGATCTATTCACATCCAAGTACTCATTAATTGCTGTTCACTTTTTATATCAAAATTGAGCTGTTTAAATTCACAGGCAGAAGTCGGTAGATGATTTCAGGTAAAGCCTTCAATGTGATTATCTTGGCAGAGTCACTTCTATCTAGTCTGACATGGTGGAGTCCTAGGCACCACTTTCTCAGTTTTCAAAGTGGGAAATTAGCTGTGGGGGGCAGGGTAAGTGGGTGGATGGTGCTCATTTATACAAACAAAGCTAAAAATGACTTACCAAGTTTTGTTTTTTTTCCCCATTGAGAAATACGATTTTCAAACTGATCAGAATTTTTGTGACAGCTGAGACGTCTCTAATTCTTTTTAGTAGTAAAGAGACTCAGGAACCAAATTAACATTAGTAAGATTACTGGATCTTGTAATATAAAGCAGGGTTGCTCAAACTAACTTGATCCTAAGTATTTTCTAGGAATGCTTTTCAAAAATACAGATCTGGGGGCACCTGGGTGGCTCAGTCAGTTAAGCGTCTGACTCTGATTTTGGCTTGGGTCATGATCTCACAGTTCATGAGATCAAGCCCTGCATCAGGCTCTGCACTGACAGTTGGAGTCTATTTGCTTTCTCTCTCTCAAAATAGATACACTTAAAAACAATTTACAGGGGCGCCTGGGTGGCGCAGTCGGTTAAGCGTCCGACTTCAGCCAGGTCACGATCTCGCGGTCCGTGAGTTCGAGCCCCCGTTCATGCTCTGTCTCTCTCTGTCCCAAAAATAAATAAACATTGAAAAAAAAAATTAAAAAAAAAAAAAATTTACAGATCTCAACGTTTCAGCCCAGACCCACCAAAGCAGAATCTCCAAAGAAGTCAAAGTAATTGTTATCATCAGGCAAGTGTGAACAATCCCAGGTTGAGTTAAAGGATTTATATTGTTCTAAAGAGTTGTCTAATCAACATACGATGGTCTGATGTACTCATATCTACTAAAGCTGGAGTTCATTCCAAGCCAAGTCAGAATATTTGTGTTCTTTTATTTGGACTTTTATTTTTTTCCTACATAGAATCAAAAATTACATAGAAGATAGACGAGTTCATTGCTTTTTTAGTTTTTCTTACCAATTAGCAAAGGGTATGTTAATACTTTAGAATGTCATTTTACAATTTCTAAGAGTGTGGCTTATTTCTCATGAGTTATTTGCTTTGAGTTCATTTATAATTTATAATCTACCCATTTCTAAAAAAAACAGTGAGGATTTTATTTCAAATTGTGTGTCTAGTGAAAGTTGAGAAAAAAACTTCAGAGTCCCTGATGTGACTGGAGGGGTCTCATCAGCAACATTCTTACAGAAATCAGACTAAAATTCACCCTATCCTCTTCCTTAAAGCAGTGTTCTTTATGCTAAGCCACAGATTTTTTATTTGGGAGACAGGTGAAGCAATGCAAAATAGGGTAAAAATTTGATAGAACATTTCCTATGTGCTCTGATTCAATTGTAAAATCAGTAGAAACTTTAGAGGAAGACCAAACAGGCTCCCCAGCAAGAACATTAGGATCCTCGTTACATAGGAGTCCCTTTCTGGTGGTATTGGGCTCATGGGAAGCAGAACTATCACTAATACAGTGCTCTTAGCCATTACCCATGCCATTTCTAGAATTAGATTTCAATATTAATTTGATGTTTATTAAGAAAACATAAGACACAACTTAAATTAATGTATGTGGGATGATAGTTTGGAGGAGAAGATCCCAGAAAAATATTCAGGAAAAAAACCCCAAAAACTCACTGAGGGGAAAAAAACCCCTGCGCTTTGGAATAACATGGAAAAGAACCAAGATTAAAAACAAACAAACAAACAAACAAACACTTTAGAGCCCACTAATAAATAAGTTACAAAATCATGGAAACATTCTTTGAAAAAGTAAATCTACCATAAACGATCACTTGTGGCCTAATTTTACTTTGACTACATATCATGGTTGTTTTAAAATATTTTTTTTAAGTTTACTTATTTAGTTTGAGAGAGATAGGGAACACGAATGAGTTGGGGAGGGGCAGACAGAGAGAAGGGAGAAAGAATCCCAAGCAGGCTCCTGTTGTCAGTGCAGAGCCTGATGAGGTGCTGGATCTCACCAACTGTGAGGTTAAAATCTCACCAACCTGAGCTGAAATCTAGAGTCAGATGTTTAACTGGCTCATGACTGAGCCACCCAGGTGCCCCTGTCTTAAAATATTTTATGGGGCGCCTGGGTGGCTCAGGCAGTTGAGTAACCAACTTTGGCTTAGGTCATGATCTTGTCATTGCTGAGTTGGAGCCCTGCATTGGGCTCAGTCTCGCTGCTGTCAGCACAGAGCCAACTTCGGATCGTCTGTTGCCCTTTCTCTCTGCCCCTCCATGGCTTGTGCACTGTCTCTCAAAAATAAATAAACCTTTCAAAATATAAAATAAAATATTTTTGGATGTGTATTTTTTTGTCTGAGGTGATTTTGTCATTTCAATCTATTTTCTCTAAGGATAGCTAACGTTTTATTTTGCTCTCTTCCTTTCCTAATGGGCTATGGCTTTTGTATCCTGATTAATCTGTCTTCCTCTTCATTTTTTAGATAATTTTTAAATTTTAAATAGCAAAAAAAAAAATCCATCAAAGAGAGTTCAGTTGTGTTGCATATTGGTACTGGGTAAATTCTATCCCAGTGGCATGGGCAGGAACACAGTTTTCCCTTTTAGTTGGATTCAGGTTACATGTATTTGAGGGCACTAATCTGGTGTGATTCTGTAGCTCCCTCTCCACCTCTTCTTTCCTCCATGAATAATCTCACATTAATTGTGCACTCACACATCTTTACATCCCAGGGGAGCCTCAGAGGAGAGTAAGAATCTCTTTCTGACCAGGGCTTACCTCTTCACTGGGGAAGCTAAGAGCTTCTTTTTCTTCATTTCCTCTTCTACTGATGTATACATGTATGTGTGTATGAATTTATTGATTTATTTTATGATTTGGTTTTTATAGCAGAGGCGCACGTGAATGCAAGGCTGCATGAGTGGTAATAGCTTCCTCTTATCACAAGCGTTTGGAGGTAGCCTTTCTCCAGCTGCTCCTCTGCCTGTGTTTAACAGAGCTCTCAGCACGTTTAAGGAAGGAATCAGAATCTTGACACACTTAGGACAGCCCTGAATTAACTCTCCCTGTGACTAAATTTGCCTAAGGCATATGAAACACTTGTTTTTACAACAGCATACTCTCACGACGTTCATTAATTAATTTTTATTAATTTTATTTATTTATTCATTTATTTATTTATTAAATTTAAATTTATTTTATTAATTTTTATTTTCTAGTGCTGTTTTTGCTATTGTTGATGACATTTCCCAGCAAAACCAGTAATTAAACACATATTTGGAGAAACAGTGCAACTGATTAATTTCTGTGTTACCATTTGTTTATTAAAAATTAAACAGAATCTTATTCATTAATTTACCTGTCCAGCAACTGAAGTACTTGTCAAAGAGACCGTTCCTGCACCAGTGCACTTACCATAGCTGTGTAGCAGTACGCTGACCTCTTTGTAGCCACTAGCCATATTTGGTTAACTGAGCATTTGAAACATGGCTAGTGTGTTTGAGGAACTGAATATTAAATTTTATTTAATTTGAATTACTTTAAATTTTAATACGCAAGCAGTATAAAATAATTTATCGTTAAACACAACTTTATTTATATGTATAATATCTCAGGAATAATTTTTATATTGTTGCATGTTAAAATAATATTTTAGATATATTAGGTTAAATTAAATTAAAATATATTATTAAAATTTGGGGCACCTGGGTGGCTCAGTCAGTTAAGCCTCCGACTCATGATTTCAACACAGGTCACGATCACATGGGTTTGTGAGTTTGAGCCCCACTTCGGGCTCTGTGCTGTCAGTGCGGAGCCTGCTTAAGATTCTCCCTCCCTGCCCCTCTCCCATGCTCTCTCTAGCTCAAAATAAATAA